TAAATGAATGAATGAGTGAGTGAGTGCGTGAATGAATGAATGAATGAATAAATAAGTACATATATATATATATATATATATGAATAAATGAATGAATGAGTGAGTGAGTGAGTGAATGAATGAATAAGTAAATAAGTCCATACATATATATTAATAAATGAATGAGTGAGTGAGTGAGTGAATGAATGAATTAATGAATGAATAAGTCCATATATATATATATATTAATGAATGAATCAATGAATGAATGAATGTTATGTATGCATGTATTTTCCAGCACTGAGCAGGGAGCAGGGAGTGAACTGAAACTCTGAACCGAATCATCAATCTGAATATAATTTCACACGTAAATGACTTCTTCTCGCTGTGATTCTGTAGGTTTAACAATCACTGTTGATCGATCCGATGATCTGAGATGGAGGTGATGGAGGTGGATGATAATGAAACACGACAGGACTGCGGATGGAAGCTCATTTATCAACCGTGACTCCTGATTAGAGAGCAGCAGCTCATTTCTCTGAACTCCTGCAAACGATCCACACGCGAAAATACAGCGTATCAAACCACAGATTCTCTACGGCTGGCCTCAAAGTCCTGTTAAAGCTGCTCCAATGTTAATATACATTTTCATTTTTAAATAAATAAATAATTAAAATAATAAACTATATTATATAATAAAATAAACTATAATTAATAATTAGTTGAAATAATAAACTATAGTATGGATAAATTAATTCAAATGTAATAAAATTATAAATATATATAAAAAAATTATTATAAATAAATAGCATTTAATTACATCATAAATGAATGAATTAATAAAAAATATATGTAAAAAATAATTTATATTATGAATGAATGAATAAAAAATAAATAAAAATATATAAATAATTATAAAATTTAATTAAATAAATAAAAGACAAAATCCACTATCAGTAAATAAAACATTATAAACAAAATAATATTATAATGAATGAATAAACAAAGTTACCTTTTAAATAAATAATAAATACATATAAATTAATTATATTATGACTAAATAAGTTCATTTAAAAGTAAATAAAGTTCAAGTAAATAAAATTCTATTATGAATAAATGAATGAAATGTATAAATGAAAATAAATTATAAAATTAAACTATAATAATAATTATAAGTATAATTATATAATTATAA